ATTGTACTTCAGGTCCTAATGAGAGCACATAGGCACTTAACTCATTAATGGCACAAATCAAAAAGAAAATGGAACTAGTCACAGATGTCACAGTTTGGGGATCGGAAAGCTACTAGAACTTTGAATTTGAATTTAGCAAAATCACAGAATACAAGGTCAGTGTACAAAAACCAACTGTATTTCTATATCCTAAGAATAAGCTATTAGAGGATGAAATTTCAGGGGCACCTGAGTGGCTCAGTGGTTGAGTGTCAGGGCGTGATCCCAGGGTCCCAGGATGGAGTCCTGCATCGGGCTCCCTGCAGGGAGCCTGTTTCTCCCTCTGCCTATGCCTCTGCCTCTGTGTGTGTGTGTCTCTCATGAATAAATAAAATCTTTTTTAAAAGTGATGAAATTTCAAAATACATATTATTTGCTCTAGCATCCAAAAACATGAAATACATAGGAATAAATTTAACAAGATATATGACAAACTTCTACACTAAAATCTTTAAAGCACTGCAAAGGACAATCTAAATCTAAACAAATGGAAAGATCGTAACATGGTCATGGTTTGGATGACTCAAAATTGTGATGTCTTTCTCCTCAAATTGAACTATGCCTTCAACAAGATCCCAATAAAAATGCCAGAAAGTTTCTTCATAGAAACTGTCAAGCTGATCCTAAAATTTATTTGAAAATCCAAAAAATTGGGGCACCTGGGTGGCTCAGTGGTTAAGTGTCTGCCTTTGACTCAGGTCATGATCCCAGGTCCTGGGATTGAGTCTTGCATTTGGCTCCACATGGAGCCGGCTTCTCCCTCTGCCTACGTCTCTGCCTCTCTCCCTAAGTCTCTCATGAGGAAGGAAGGAAGGAAGGAAGGAAGGAAGGAAGGAAGGAAGGAAGGAAGGAAGGAAGGAAGGAAGGGAGGGAGGGAGGGAGGGAGGGAGGGAGGGAGGGAGGGAGGGAGGGAGGGAGGGAGGGAGGGAGGAAATAAATGCAAAAAATCTAGAATAGCCAAAACATTTTGAAATAGAAGAATAGAGTTGGAGAGCTCACCTACCTGATTTCAAGGTATACTGTAATGCTACAGTAATCAATACTATAGTGCTGGCACTAGGACAGACAAATCAACGGAAAAGAAAAAAAGTCCAGAAATAGACCAACATGTACATGCTTATTTGATTCTCCACAGAAGTGCCGAGGTATTTCAATAGAAAAAGGGTAGTCTTTACCATAAATGGTGCTAGAGGAACTGAGGATCCACCTGGGAGAAAAAAAGAAACGAACCTAGCCCCTTACCTAACACCACACACAAAAATTAACTTCAAATAGATCACAGATGTAAAAGTAAAAGCTCAAACCTCAAGACTTCCAGAGGAAAACTTTGGAGAAAATGTTCACGGCCTTGGGTTAAGCAAAGATGTCAAATGCCAAAGCCATGCCCCATAAAAGGAAAAAAGAAATGATTAGCCTTCGTCAAATTTTAAAATTTCTCTCTTCAAAAGATACCACTTGAAAGTGAAACGATAAGGGGCACCTGGGTGGCTGAGTGGGTTGAGCGTCTGCCTTCAGCTCAGGTCATGATCCCAGGGTCCTGGGATGGAGGCCCAGGTAGGGGCTCCCCGCTCAGTGGGGCCCCTGCTTCTCCCTCTCTCACGCCCCTCTCCCCTGTCCATGTGCACATGTGCTCTATCTCTCAAATAAAAATCTTTAAAAATAATAAAATAAAAATGAAGAATAGACAAGCCATAGGCAGCAGTAAAAGAATATTTGTGATGCATATATATGACACAACACAGATATCCAAAGTATATAGAGAATCCCTACAACTTAATAATAACCCAATATAGCCCAATTTGAAAATGGACAAAGTATTTAAACAGGTATTTTGCAAAAGAAAGTACACAAATAACCAGTAAACACTTGAAAAGCTGCTCAACATCACTTGTCATCAAACACAAACACAGGAGATGTCACTGTATACATGTATATGTTCCCTGGAATGGCTATGATTAAGACAACTGGGGGATCCCTGGGAGGCTCAGCGGTTCAGCGCCTGCCTTCAGCCCAGAGCGTGATCCTGGAGTCACCGAACTGAGACCCGCATCGGGCTCCCTGCGTGGAGCCTGCTTCTCCCTCTGCCTGTGTCTCTGCCTCTCTCTCTTTCTCTCTGTGTCTCTCATGAATAAATAAATAAAATCTTTAAAAAGGAAAAAAAGAAGACTGACAATGCCAAGTGTTGATGAAGATGTATGGCAACTGGAATTTTCATTCACTGCTGGCAGAAATGCAAAATGGCACAGGAATTCAGAAAATAGTTTAACAGTTTCACATAAAGTTTAATATATCCAGCAGTTCTGCTCCTAGGTATTTATCAAAGAAAAACTAAAACATATGTCCAAGCAAAGACTTGCTCTCAAAAAAAACAAAACAAAAGACTTGCTCTCTAATGTTCGCAGCATTTTTATTCATAATATGTGTCTAAAACTGAAAACTACCCCAAATATCCATCAAGGGGTGTATCGGTCAGAGATGTATCCTAAGGAATTGGCCTCATGCCGTTATGAGGACTAGCTACAAGTCTGAAATCTGCAGGACAGGTCATCAGAAAATGCAAACTGGAAGCTCTCTGGCAGGAGCTGAAGCTGCAGTCCACAAGCAGAACTTTGACAGGGAAACCTCAGTTCTGTCCTTAGAGGCCTACAACTGATTGGACCAAGCCCACCCACATTACTAAGAGTAATCTTTATATAAAGGCAGCTGGAGGGACGCCTGGGTGACTCAGCGGTTGAGCATCTGCCTTTGGCTCAGGGTGTGATCCCTGGGTCCCCAGATCGAACCCCACATCGGGCTCCCAGCAGAGAGCCTGCTTCTCCCTCTGCCTGTGTCTCTGCCTCTCTGTGTGTGTCTTTCATGAATAAATAAAAATCTTAAAAAGAAAAAGGCAGCTGGTTGTAGGTGTCAATCACCTCTACAAAATGCCTTCATAGCCACATCATCATCAGTGTTTGACTGAATAAGTGGCTATGATAGCCTAGCCAAGGTGACACATGAAACTGACCAGCAGTGACTGGGTATACAAATTGTGGAATACTACTCCACAAGAAACACAAACTACTGACAGAAGTAACAGTATGGAAAAATAAGTCTCAAACAATTTTGTACAACAAATAGGGCAGACGAAAAGACCCTGCAGGATTCTACTCATATGAAATTCTAGAACAGTCGATAATGATCCACAGTGTCAGAAAACAGGTGTTTGCCTGATGTCAATTAGGCATTAAGGTGAGGATATTGACTGCAAAGGGAAACAAAATTTAGGAGAGAGGTGGAAATTACAACTGGACCGTGGTGGTGGCTATGCAGGTATATACATTTGTCAAAATTTATCAAATGATGCATTTTTTTAAGATTTTTTTGAAGATTTTATTCATTTTTACATGAGAGGCACAGAAAGAGAGAGAGAGAGAGAGAAGCAGGCTCGGACGTGGGACCCAATCCCAAGACCCTGGGGTCACAGCCTGAGCCGAAGGCAGACACTCAACCACTAAGCCACCCAGGCGTCTCTAAGATTTTATTTTTATTTTGGATTTATTTATTTATTTATTCATGAGAGACACAGAAGGAGAGGCAGAGACACAGGCAGAGGGAGAAGCAGTCTTCCCCAGGGGAGCCGGATGGGGGACTCAATCCTACAACTCTGGGATCCCATACTGAGCTGAAGGCAGATGCTCAACCACTGAACCACCCACGCATTCCAAGATTTTATTTTTATAAGTAATCTCTACACCCAATGTGGGGCTTGAAACTACAGCCCTGAGATCGAGTCACTTGCTCCACTGACTGAGCCAGCCAGGCACCCCAAATCATACATTTTTTTAAAGATTTTATTTATTCATGAGAGACACAGACAGAGGGAGAAGCAGGCTCCATGCAGGGAGCCCGATGCGGGACTCAATCCCAGGATCCTGGAATCATGACCTGAGCAGAAGACAGCGCCCCCCCCCCAGGTGCCCCAAATTATACACTTTAAACGAATGCATTTTGTATATAAATTATTTCTCAATAAGGTTGATGTGTTAAAAGGGAGGAGGGGGAGCTGATTCCTGCCCAGCAGAAGCTCCAGAAGCTCAAGGTTCCAGAGACATATATCTAGTTCCTATAGCACCATTTTTGGCAAAGACTATCATTTCCTTATTGAAAAGCATTGAACGCTGTATGTAGGTGAGAAGTTTCCTGGCTGGGAGTGAAGGATGCAAGTGCAATGAGATCATCTATGCTTCATTTAAAGGAAAGAAGGAGGGAAAGAGGAAGGAAGGAAGGAAGGAAGGAAGGAAGGAAGGAAGGAAGGAAGGAAGGAAGGGAGGGAGGGAGGGAGGGAGGGATTAGAACTTAATCAGAGGGATCCCTGTTTTCTTCTGACTCCCAGAGATGTCACGGGGGGGGGGGATGTGGTCCGATGAAGAACCTCCCCCCCTCACCACCCCACCCCACGCAAACATTCAATGCTCCGCTGTGCCCCGTGAGCTGCGGTTCGCTGCTCCAGGACTGGCCTCCTCGGGGTGTGGGTGGCGTATTCCTCACCCGCTGCCACGGCGGCCTCCGGTGACCAAACGCATTCGCCCTCCTGCTGGCCCCGGGAGAAATCCTCCTCCGGGAACAGGGCTCCTCCTCTCTGGGGACCGTGACCCTGGGGGTCCGGGCCTCCCGGCCTTGGAAAGGGCCCACACCTAGGGGGAGGGAGAGGGCGGGAGGGCGGGCGGCGCAGGAAGCCTCGCGGCCGCCTCCCACCGCGCGGCCGGGCCATCCCGCGGGCAGCCTCACCCATCAGGCCTCGGCGAGTCCCCAGGGGCCGCGAACCAGGCGCTCGCAGCCGGGGCCTGGAGCAGCAGCAGCAGCAGCAGCACCTTCACCTGCGAGCGCGTTAGAAACGCAAAGCGCCCTGGGCGGTCCCAGCCGGCCGAGCGGAGCCCCGCGCAGGTGGGAGGGGCGGAGCCTCAGCAGGCCGCCAGGTGCGCCCGGGCAGCCGGCGGGGACGGGATGGCGCCGCCGACGGCCGCAGGAGGGCCCCTCCTTTAAGGCTGGGGAGGCGCCCCTGCCGCGCCCCGCGGGCCTCCTGACAGCCGACGGGACCCGGCCGCTTTCCAGCCCCCGCGACCTCGGCGCCCAGCGCCCCGCCTCCCGCCGGCCAGGGGCTCGGGATCCGGGGTGGGGGGGCGATGCGGGGCGAGCGGGGCTGGGGGCCCGGCTCGGCTCACCGCGGACGCCCCTCCCGCACAGCCGCCGCGCCCCCCGCGCCCCCCGCGCCCCGCGGCATGAACCGCAGCAGCAGCAGCAGCAGCGCTGCCGAGAAGGCGCTCGCAGCCGTGCTCTGGGGTGAGCCAGGGCCCGGCTGCTCCCGAGCCGGGTGGGGGAGCGGGGCGGAGAGCCGGGGAGCCCCCTCCCCCTGAGCCGGCGCCCTCGCTCCTCTCCCTTCTCAGGCTGTGAGCTAAACCAGGAGAAGCGGACCTGGACGGTCAAACCCCAGAAGGAGGGCAAGCAGGACTCGAAGCTGTTGCTCAGTACGGTGGGTGCCGCGCACCCCCCCCCCCGCCCCCGGGAAGGGCGGCCGCCTGCAGCCCGAGGGGCCTGCACAGCTGCGGGGGGCGGGGGGGAGGGGGGACTCCCCGGGACCAGACCCCTCCGGTGGTGAGGGGGCCTGCCTTCAACCGCCCTCAGATTTGCCTGGGGGAGAAAGCCAAAGAAGAGATGAACCTGGTGGAAATCCTGCCCCCGGCCAGCCCGGACGACAAACAGGCCAAGCCCATCACCATCGCCTCGCTCCAGGCCTCCGTGCTACCCATGGTGAGCCTCTCCCCGCCGGCTTCGGGAGACTGCCCGCCCTGGGCACCTGCTCAGGCCTCACCCCCAGGGTGCGGATGGACAGGCCCAAAGAGGGGGTACAGGCCTCCTGCAGGGGGGCAGCGCTGCCAGAGAGGCCCTGTAGCCCATAACCGAGAGCCCTGGGTTTAGGAGGCAGAGAGCCCCACTTCCATCCCAGCCCACCCTTTCCTAGCTGCGTGACCTTGGGCAGGTCCACCGCTCTTCAGAATCACCTTTTTTTAGAAAGTTTTTGATGCTGGTGAGAGGGCACTGTTGATGACTTCCATACTGATTGTCTATCCAGAAACTCTCTTATTTCTAATAATTTATCATGAGTTCTCTTTGCAAATCATCATTGTTAATGGCATTTTTTTGTGTGTCTTTTTTAATCTGACTATGCTGCCTAGGGTCTCCAGTATAATATCGGGTAAGATTATAATGGTAAAGGTCCTTGTTTCATTCTTGGTGTGTATGTGTGTGTATATATATGTGTGTGTGTGTGTGTACATATATCGTGTGTGTATATATATATCATGTATATTTTTATAGCTTATTTATTTGAGAGTGTGTGTGAGTGAGCATGGTGGGGAGGGGCAGAGGGACCGGAAGAAAAAATCTTAAGCAGACTTGGAGCTGGCGCAGGGCTGACCCTGAGATCATGACCTGAGCTGAAACCAAAAGTCTGCTGCCTAACTGAGCCACCCAGGTGCCACTATATGTATATTTTGAAAGGAATGCTTCTAATGTTTCTCCACCAAGTATGACGTGTTTGGTAAGTCCAGTCCTGCTCTGCCTTTTAAAACTGGGATTTCTTCATTTTAATTGTAAATGGTTATCAAATGCTTTTCTATTCAGGTGACCATAAACTCTTTTTTCTTTAACCTGTTAATGTGGTAAGTTTTATATTAATAGAATGCTATTCAACCAACTTTGCATTCCTGACAAACACTACTTGATCATACTATAAATTTCTACATTTGCTTTGCTAATATATTAAAACTTATATTAAAAAAAATCCCTTATATACTCAGGAGTTTATAGGCCAACCTCACTTATCTTATTTGGGTGTCAAGCGATACTAGCCTCTTGAACTAGGGGATGTAGTGTTCTCTCCTTCTATGTGGTGGAACAGTGAATGTGAGACCAATGTCTTCTGTCCCTAATCCGGGAGGTTTATCTGTAAAACTGCCCTCAAACCCTTTTTTCCCTTCTATCTATGAGATTTCCCTAGACCATTCCTTGCCAGGGTTTTAAAGACCATTTATGCAAATGAACACTCTGGTATTTATTTCTGCCACTCTCTTTCATGCTCCAAATCCTCTGTCCAACTCAATATATTTAATAGGTATCTAGGAGATAACCCATACTTAACAAATCCAAATCCAAACTCTTGATTGTTATCTATAATCTCTTCCCCCCACCCCCAAACCTGGTCCTCTCCCACGATATAATTGCTCTTCCAGTTAATCAGGACAAAAACTTCCTTCTCAAACACTGCATATCACCAGCAAATCCTGTTGGCTCTACCTTGACAGTATACACCAGTCTGACCACCTCTCACCACCTCCCTTCTATACCCTGGTCTGGATGACCATTACCTCTTGCTCAATTTTATTGCAGGGCCTCCTATCTGGTCTACCTACCTCAACCCTTGGTTCCTTATAGTCTGTCTATTCCAGGGTTCAACAAACTGCAGGATTAAACCCAGCCCAATGCCTATTTTTGTAAATAAAGTATTATTGAAACACAGCCACGCTCTTATGCCTGCCTATTTTCCGTTGGTAACAGCAGAACTGAGTCATCTCCACAGAGACCGTATGGTTCATAAGCCTTAAATATGTATCAAATACAGAAAAAAATTTCCCCAACCCCTGGTCTATTCTATGCACAGCTGCCAGAAGGATCCCTGTATTGTGTTTTTGTTTGTTTGTTTGTTTGTTTTAGCATTTAAGTGATCTCTACACCCAATGTGGGGCTCAAACTAAGACCTCAAGATCAAGAGTTCCATATTCTTTGGACTGAGCCAGCCAGGTACCCCTAGAAGGATCCTTTTAAAAGTCAGACCATGTTGCTTCTCTGCTAGAACAGTTAGGTCAGTGGTTTCCCATTTCACTTAGGATGAAATCCAAGATCATTTATGTCCTAGTCCACAAAAACCTCTCTCAATTTCAACCTCTGCTACTCTCTGCTCCCTAACCCTGTTCAAACCACGCTGGCTTCCTTGCCTGTGCCTTGGAAATTCCAAACATACCCCCTCCTAGGAGTCTTGCATTTACTGTTCCCGTGCTAAGGACACACTTGCCTCCCACTTCAGTTCAACTTTATTCATATGTCCTCTCACTGAAGAAGTCTTCCCTGACTACAGACAGCACCCCCTCTTCCTATCCTTCCATAATCACTTTTCCTCCTCATGGGACCCGTCACTGGCTCAGTCTTCATATGTGCTTTGTCTTTCTCCCCAGCCAGGATATAAACTCTAAGACAGCAAAGACCGTCTATTTATTTATTGCTTTTGCCACACTACCTATGTAATAGTGTCTGGTATATTGGAGAAACTCAACATACAATTAGTGAATACGGAAGTGAACAAACCATATGGGACTGGTTTGATTTTATTTTTTATTTTTTGGTTTGATTTTAAACTACCGTCATTTCATAGTTTTAGGTCTCAATGTTTCCCTTTCTTTGAGTCAGTTCTTGTATCTGCTCTTTTGAGATATAATATATATATATATTTCGCCAATGCTAAGTATACCCCCTGATGCATTTGACAGATGTATGTAATTGTGTAGCTACCACAACAATCAAGGTAGAGAAAATTTCCATCACCCCCCCAAAAAAAATTTCCTCATGCCTCTTTGCAGTCAGCCCTTTCCCCCTTCCACGGTCTCTGGCAACCATTGATCTACTACTTTCTGTCTCTATAGTTTCTAGAATTTCATTTCAACGGAATCACACAATGTGTAGTCTCTCATACCCAGCTTTTTTCACTTAGCGTAACGCTTTTGAACTTCATCCATGCTGTTGGTGAAAGAATCACATGCTCCTTTTTTATATCTGAGTGATAATCTGTTCTACAAATAACATATATACGTCGAGGTTTATTCATTCACTTGTTAATGGGTATTTGGGTAGTTTCTAGTTTTATACTACCATGAATAAAGACTGCTATGAGCATTTGAGTGTATTTGTAAGCACATATGTATGTTTTCATTCCTCTAAAATTGAGTTAATTTCATTCCTCTGAGTTGAGTAAATACCTAGCAGTAGAATTACAGGATCATACAGTCAGCCTATATTAAACTTTATTCCGCCTTCCCATCCTCTTGCATATGTTCGACTTTATACAAAACTGCCAAGCTATTTTCCAAATTACTATACCATTTTGCATTCCTACCAGCAACGTATGAAAATTCCGGTTGTTTCACATCCTTACCAACACTTTGCATTGTCAGTCTTAATTTTAGCCATTCCTGTGTGTGTGTGTGTGTGTGTGTGTGTATTGGCATCTCATTGTTATTATTTACATTACTCTTGCAAAAAGCCTGTTTAGATATTTTTCCCATTTTAAAATTGAGTTATTAAGCTGTGGAAGTTCTTTATATACTTTGGATACAAGTCTTTTATCAAAACTATTTCAGGGGCGGCTGAGTGGCTTAGTCAGATAAGGATCTGCCTTCAGCTCAGGTCAGGATCTCAGAGTCCTGGGATTGAGCCCCAGGGAGTCGTCTTCTCCCTCTATCCCTTACCCCACTTGTGCTCTCTTCTCTCTCTCAAATAAAATCTTTAAAAATGTATTCATTTCATATATTTTCTCCTAGTACATGGCTTGCTTTTGCATTTCATAATCATTTTTTTGAGGGCCACAGTTTTAATTTTTATAAAGTCTAATTTAACATTTTTTTCCTCTTTTTTTTTTTGAAGATTTTATTTAGGGACATCTGGGGGGCTCAGTGGTTGAGCGTCTGCCTTTGACTCACGTCGTGATCCTGGGGTCCTGGGATCAAGTCCCACATTGGGCTCCCCACAGGGCACCTGCTTCTCCCTCTACCTATGTTTCTGCCTCTCTCTGTGTGTCTCTCATGAATAAATAAGTAAAATCTTTTCCCAAAAAAAAGATTTTAAGAGAGAGAGCGAGTGTGCACGTGTGCAAGTGCATGAGTAGGGAGAGGGAGAAGCAGACTCTGTACTGAGCAGGGAGCCTGCCGTGGGGCTGGATCCCAGGACCCTGAGATCATGACCTGAGCCAAAGGCAAAGGCTTAAGTGGCTAAGTCACCCAGCCCCTGAAATTTTTTTCTCATATGGTTCGTGTGTGTGTGTGTGTGTGTGTGTGTGTGTGTGTGTGTCCTGAGAAATCATTGCCTAAACTAAGGTCAAAAATGTTTTTTTCTAAATTTTCTTCTAGGAGTACTATTGTTTAACTCTTAGAATCAATGATCCATTTCTTTCTTTCTTTTCTTTCTTTCTTGATTTTACTTATTTATTCATGAGAGACAGAGAGAGGCAGAGACCTAGGCAGAGGGAGAAGCAGGCTCCCCTCTGGGAGCCCAATGTGGGACTTGATCCCAGGACTCCAGGATTACGACCTGAGCCAAGCTCAACCACTGAGCCACCCAGGTGCCCCCAATGATCCATTTCAAGATAATATTTTTTGCCTGATATAAAGTAAGGATAGAGAAACAAGTTTAGCAAGTTGATATCCAGTGCTGAGCACCACATTTTTTTTTTAAGACTGTCCTTTCACTCTACAATTTTGTTGGGATTTTGGTACAAATCAGTTGCCCACCTATGTATGCATATATTTCTATATTCTGTTCCAGTGGTTTACTTTTTACCTTTACTCTCATAACAGAGTGACTTAATTTTTGTAGTTTTATAGTAAGTCTTAAAATTAGTGTGAGTCTTCCAACTTTGTAGTTCTTTTCCAAAATTGTGTTGGCAATGCTATGGCAATGCTAGGTCCTGAGCATTTCCATAGAAA